ATTCTTCTTAAGTATTTTCATCAGGTCTTCCTTCTTTGCAAAATTATGGAATCGAATTATTATATTTCTGGGCTTATATAACTCAGGCTTAGCTTCTCACTCTAATGCAGTATTACCTTAAGGTAAACAACTTGTTGTTTAATAGACACCCATGAAATCATTCTGTTTCCCATGAAATTCCTCCACAACTTTCCCATGTAATCTCTCTGAACGACGCAATCTATTTTTGGCTCTGATTTGTAAACAAAGACTTTTGTTGATCTCTGTAGCTACAGGTGGGTTCCCATGAACACCCTCCTTATCACTGAGCTCTTCACACTGCCAACCTAGCAGTTCGAAAACATGCAAATGTGAGTAAATTAAGAGGTACCGCTTCTGCGGGAAGGTAACGTCACTCCATGCAGTCATGCCGGCCACATGACCTTGGAGCATCTACAGACAACGCTGGCTCTTCGACTTAAAAATGGAGATGAACATCAACTAGACTTAATGTCAACTAGACTTAATGTCAAGGGAAAACCTTGACCTTTACTATAAAATAAGAGGATATGAAACGTTGATGATTTGTGTGTTTGGACTTGGATTTCATCTCCAAAACACTCCAACACCATCCCCATAGGTGACTGAGATAGTGACGTCTTTGCTTTCTGATGCATCAGTGGACACAAACTTGGCATCATGGTCTCAAATAACCTTCCGCCTGTATGGATAGGTAAAGGTATTCCCCTGACATTAAGTCCAGTCGGGTTGGTGCTCATCTCCATTTCTAAGCCGAAGAGCCGGCGTTGTCCATAGACACCTCCAAGGTCATGTGGCTGGCATTACTGCACGGAGTGCCGTTACCTTCCTGCCAAATCGCTACCTATTAATTTACTCACTTTTGTGTATATTCGAACTGCTAGGTTGGCGGAAGCTGGGGCTATCAGCGAGAGCTTACGGTGCTCCCCAGATTCGAACCTACGACCTTTCAGTTAGCAAGTTCAGCAACTCAGCAGTTTAACCTACTGCGCCACCATAAGTGTATACAACTTACCCATCCCAGTATGGATAAGTTGTATACAAAATACCAATGAATTGTGTATTTAGACCTTACTCCCATCTTTATTATTTATTTTATTTATTTCGAACATTTTTACCCCGCCCTTCTCAACCCCTAGGGGGACTCAGGGCGGCTTACAATTGGCAACCATTCAATGCCGTCATAAAATACAGTAGCAAAAATAACAATTAAAATTATGAACATTAAAATAAAAATTAAACAGTATACTTACAATCCATTTAGCTCAGTGGTTCTCAACCTTCCTAATGCTGTGACCCCTTAATACGTTTCCTCATGTTGTGGTGACCCCCAATCATCACATTATTTTCGTTGCCACTTCATAACTGTCATTTTCCTATTATTATGAATCACCATGTAAATATCTGATATGCAGGATGCATTTTCATCCACTGGACCAAATTTGGCACAAATACCCCATACGCCCAAATTGGAATACTGAAGAAGTTGTGGGGATTGATTTTGTTATTTGGGAGTTGTAGTTGCTGGTATTTATAGTTCACCTACAATCAGAGTATTCTGAACTCCACCAATGATGGAATCGAACCACACTTGGCACACAGAGCTCCGATGACTCACAGAAAATACTGGAAGGATCTGGTGGGCATTGGCCTTGAGCTTGGGAGTTGTAGTTCACCTACATCCAGAGAGCACTGTGGACTCAAACAATGATGGATCTGGACCAAACTTGACATGGATACTCAATATGCCCAAATGTGAACACTGGTGGAGTTTGGGGAAAATAGACCTTAACATTTGGGAGTTGTTGTTGCTGAGATTTATAGTTCTCCTACAATCAAACAGCATTCTGAGTCCCACCAACAAGAAAACTGGGCCAAACTTCTCACTCAGAACTCCCATGATCAATAGAAAATACTGTGTTTTCTGATGGTCTTTGGAGACCCCTTTGAAACTCCCTCACAACCCTCCCAGGGGTCCCGACCCCCAGGTTGAGAAACACTGATTTAGCTATTGCCAGTCTGGTGGCTATTTATCTAGCCATATGCTAATGATAACTCCGCTTCACTTATCCAAATCCACTTCCAAGCCATGGTCAAATATTATCCATTGTCCTTTAACCTGATTGCCTGAAGGCCTGGTCCCACAACCACGATTTTACCTTCTTTCTGAAGGTGAGGAGGGATGACGATGATCTAATTTCCCCTTGGAAGCGTATTCCACGGGCGGGGGGCTACCACCGAGAAGGCCCTGTCCCTCGTCCCCGCCAAACATGTTTGAGACAACAGTGGGGCCGAGAGCAGGGCCTCCTCAGAGGATCTTAAGCTCTGAGGTGGGACGTAGAAGGAGATACGTTCGGACAGGTACGCTGGACCGGAGCCGTATAGGGTTTTATAGATCAAAACCAGCACTTTGAATTGTGCTCGGAATTGGATCGGCAGCCAGTGGAGCTGACACAACAGGGGGGTGGTATGCTCCCAGAGAGCTCATTATGTACATACATACAGTATATCTAAAGACAGGTATTCCAAAATCCTCAAAAATCTAAAATACTTCTGGTCCAAGCATTTTGGATACAGGAGATTTGCCCTGTCCTCTGTATTTATTACTCCAAATGGTAACTAAGAGCTCATATCATCTGGTGGTTACAAATACATTACTTTTTGGATAAAACAAATATGGAATGATTATGAAGGCTGTTAGGAAAAACCTGGCAATGCTTGAAGTTTTCAAGATGATTTCTCTTTCCAACACCTGAAAGAGGAGCAATTGAATTGCAGAAGTCTCGGCAACCACAGCTTAAGTTGTGGAGTTCTCCTTCTGCCAGTTGAAGGTGTGGGGGAAGCGAGAGAAAAAGAAAAAGCCACCGGACCAGAAAAACTGGCCTCCCTTCTGAAGAATGCAAGCAGGAAGCACCTTATCAGGAAATGCACTTGGCTTTGGGCACACACTTCAGGAAGACTCCGTGAGCTGGTATTTGCACCCACCGGTGTGCCTTTCCTGCCCCATGCGGTGCTGTGTGACCCAAAGCCTCGTGTTAGCTCTTTGGCCTGAGCCAAGGGAATAGCTCACGTTCACCAGGACTCGAATTTGGAGCCTTCCCAAAATCGAGACATCCAGGACTAGACAGGATTGGTGTCACTCCGCAGACTGATCCCACCGGACTCTCAATGAAGGAACTTCTCATCTTTGGGGTGTTATGCTCTCTAGCGGGTAAGTGACTCACCTTCAGTTCCTCTTCGTTTTCCGTAATGGGAAAAGGTCTCTTTTTCAGTTTAGTTTTCTGACTTCGAGGACACACCTGGACTGAAGAATGAAAACAGTTTGACACCACTTAAACTGCCACGGCTCCATTCTATGGGAGCCAGGGATTTGTAGTTTGGCGAGGCACCGGCACTTTTTGGAAGAGAAGGCAAAAGACCTCACAAAAGTACAACTCCTAGGATTTCATAACAATGTGGCACAGAAGTTAAAGTGGTGTCAAACTGCATTAATTCTACTGTGTAGTCACAGTGTTGGGTTGTCAAGCAGTTGGATGCAATCAGCTTGCTTTGCGTGACATTCCACGCTGGAATTCCTTTTTGCTTCAACTAGCGAGAAGGTACCAAATGACAACACAGGACCAATCAAATTATGTAACTGTAAATTTTTAATACTGTTATGTTTAATTCTTTTTTAATGCTTGCATATTTGTATATTTTGAATTATGTGGTCATACTTTTAATGTCAGCCGCTTTGGGTCTCCTTCGGGACATAAATAAATGAGGTATGAATAAACAAACATAATAATAATAATAATAATAATAATAATAATAATAATAATAATAAGCTGGTAAATAAAGGTGGTTCCAGTGGCGATCGTCACACTGGGTGCACACTGGGTGCAATGCCTAAAGACCTTGGCCTGCACTTAAAAACAATCGGCGCTGACAAAATTACAATCTGTCAGCTGCAAAAGGCCACCCTACTCGCATCTGCGTGCATTATTCGCCGATACATCACACAGTTCTAGATACTGTTGTTTACTATGGTGCAACGAAAACCAAGGAAGGAAGGATGGAAGGAAGGAACGAAGGAAAGAAGGAACGAAGGAACGAAGGAAGGCTTAGGTTATTATTATTATTATTATTATTATTATTATTATTATTATTATTATTGCTAAAGATGAGAAATAAGAGGATGGAAGCCCAGTTGTTCATGGTGCATTGAAACTTCCTTTGTTCCTTCGTTCCTTCATTCCTTCTTTCCCTCTGTACTGTTTTTGGTCATATAGAGATGCAAAAAGGAATGAAGGAACGAAGGAAGGCTTAGATTATTATTATTATTATTATTATTATTATTATTATTATTATTATTATTATTATTGCTAAAGATAAGAAATAAGAAGATGGAAGCCCAGTTGTTCATGGTGCATTGAAAATTCTTTCGTTCCTTCGTTCCTTCATTCCTTCTTTCCCTCTGTACTGTTTTTGGTCATATAGAGATGGAAAAATATAATAATAATAATAATAATAATAATAACAACAACAACAACAACAACAACAACAACAACAACAACTCTGGCACAAGCCTGTAAAAGTGGTCCCAGTGGTGATAGGCACACTGGGTGCAGTACCTAAAGACCTTGGCCTACACTTAAAAATCAGTGTTGACAAAATTACCATCTGTCCACTACAAAAGGCCACCCTACTCAGATCCGCACACATTATTAGCTGATTTATCACACAATCTTAGATACTTGGGAAGTGTCGGACGTGTGATCGAATGCAAAAGCCAGCATAGTGATCTTGTTTGCTGTGTACTAATCTTGTTATGGAAATAATAATAATAATAATAATAATAATAATAATAATAATAATAATAATAATAATAAATAAATAATAATATCTTAGGATTCTCCACGCAATAAATTGCAGTGTGGTATTATTTGCTGTGTGCTTTGAAGACGTTTCCAGCGTATGATGATCCCAAGTCCTCTTGGTTCTCTTGGTATTATGTATTCAGAGAATGCCTTTATCATCCTTTGAGGGTTAGAGAGTGTAGGTTCAAGCCATTTCTGGTTGACGGTGACCCTAAAGGACATCTATCACCTTTCCCTAAATGGCCCCATGAACGGCAGAAATAGTTACACTTTTGTTCTCCGATGGTTCAACGTACGCAGACTTTGTTCCGTGCACAAAGTGATTATCAAAAGTTGTATGCGAAATGGCCTTCAAGCTATATGTAAAAGGTGTTTATGAAATGTAAACGGGTTTCATGTTCAGACTTGGGCCCCATCTCCAAGTTAGGTCAGGATATACGTATATGTAAATTGACAGGTATTACAAAATCCGGAAAAAAAATTCCAAAATCCAAAGCACTGCTGGTCCCAAGCATTTTGGATGAGGGAGACTCAACCAGTCCTAGGATCTGGGTTGTTGTAGGGTTTTTCGGGCTATATGGCCATGGTCTAGAGGCATTCTCTCCTGACGTTTCGCCTGCATCTATGGCAAGCATCCTCAGAGGTAGTGAGGTCTATTGGAACTAGGAAAAAGGGTTTATATATCTATTTTCCTAGTTCCAACAGACCTCACTAGTACCTCTGAGGATGCTTGCCATAGATGCAGGCGAAACGTCAGGAGAGAATGCCTCTAGACCATGGCCATATAGCCCGAAAAACCCTACAACAACCCAGTGATTCCGGCCATGAAAGCCTTCAACAATACATAGTCCTAGGATCCTCTGTGCCAGTCATAATCCTATTCCATCTAGTGTCTCATTTCTTTGGATAGAACCATGACAGTTGAAGTGGTATGAAACTGATATAACTGTCTCATGCAGATGGTAACTGCCATGGCTCAAGGCTATAAAATTCTGGGATTTCTAGTCCAGTGAGGCACCAGCTTCTAACAGCAGAAAAGGTTAAAGACCTTCTCAAACTACAATTTCCAGGATTCCAATGCATGGAACGATGGCAGTTCAAGTGGGGTCCAACTGCATTAATTCAACAGTGTCCAGAAAGGTCCCCTGGTGGCACAGCAGATTAATCCGCTGCACTGCTGAACTTGCTGACTGAAAGGTTGGCATTTCGAATCCGGGGAGCAGGGTGAGCTCCTGCCGTTAGCCCTAGCTTCTGCCAACCTAGCAGTTTGAAAACATGCAAATATGAGTAGATCAATAGGTACCACTTCTGCAGGAAGGTAACAGCGCGCCATGCAGTCATGCTGGCCACATGATCTTGGAGGTGTCTACGGACAACGCTGGCTCTTCAGCTTAGAAACGGAGTTGAGCACCAACCAGAGTTGGACCAAACTAGATTTAATGTCAGAGAAAATCTTTATCTTTACCAGAAAGGGACATGATGGAAGTAGGTACCAATTTGGACTCTAGACTACAGAGAGTTCGTACTGATATATAACAGTATGGTATAATAGTTTGACCAACAGAGTAGGATCCCAAAAGGCCAGGATTCAAATCCCTCTCAACCCTCGACACTGGGTAACTTTGGAAGTTAGCATTCAACCCTGGTTGATTCGACGGTCCCACTCTCTCAGTCTTAGCAGATGGCAATGGACAGACAGCCTTAAATCTGGCTGAGAAAACCACAGAGTAAGTTCATCTCAGGGCCACCATAAGTCAGGTAAACAACTGCAATTGTGCTGCTGAAATGAGACGTCATAGGCGTACTCTTCCCATCCCAAAGTTGAGGTCATTTGCCATGCTCAAATTGCAGTTCTGCTGGGATCGTCTTTGTGATCGTATATTTGCAATAAACACCAGTGGTCAACAATAACATGCCTTAGAACAGTGTTTCTCAACCTTCCCAATGCCGCAACCCCTTAATACAGTTCCTCATGTTGCGGTGACCCCCAACCATAGCATTATTTTCGTTGCTACTTCATAACTGTAACTTTGCAGGTGCTATGAGTAGGATGAACTTAAAGAAATGCCGAGACTGGAGAGATCCTTTGGCTAAAGCAGTGGTTCACAATCTTCCTAATAACCTGACCCCTTAATACAGTTCCTTATGTTGTAGTAACCCCAAACCATAAAATTATCTTTGTTGCTACTTCACAACTATAATTTTGCTATTGTTATGAATCATCATTAGGAGCCCCCGGTGGCGCAGTGGGTTAAAGCACTGAGCTACTGAGCTTGTTGATCGAAAGGTCGCAGGTTCGATTCCGGGGAGCGGCGTGAGCTTCCGCTGTCAGCCCTAGCTTCTGCCAACCTAGCAGTTCATGCAGATTGTAACTGCCATGGCTCAAGGCTATAAAATTCTGGGATTTCTAGTCCAGTGAGACACCAGCTTCTAACAGCAGAAAAGGTTAAAGACCTTCTCAAACTACAATTTCCAGGATTCCAATGCATGGAACGATGGCAGTTCAAGTGGGGTCCAACTGCATTAATTCAACAGTGTCCAGAAAGGTCCCCTGGTGGCACAGTAGATTAAACCGCTGAGCTGCTGAACTTGCTGACTGAAAGGTTGACATTTCGAATCCGGGGAGCAGGGTGAGCTCCTGCCGTTAGCCCTAGCTTCTGCCAACTTAGCAGTTCGAAAACATGCAAATGTGAGTAGATCAATAGGTACCGCTCCGGCGGGAAGGTAACAGCGCTCCATGTAGTCATGCCAGCCACATGACCTTGGAGGTGTCTACGGACAACGCTGGCTCTTCGGCTTAGAAATGGAGATGAGCACCACACCCCAGAGTCAGACATGACTGGACTTAATGTCAGGGGACTACCTTTACCTTTACCTATGAATCATAATATAAATATCTGATATGCAGGGTGTATTTTCATTCACTGGACTAAATTTGGCACAAATACCCAATACGCCCAAATTTGAATACTGGTGGGGTGGGGTTGATTTTGTCATTTGGGAATTGTAGTTGCTGGGATTTATACTTCACCTACAATCAAAGAGCATTCTGAACTCCACCAATGATAGTATTGAACCAATGAACGAAATCACACCAAATTTGGCAACAAAACGGCTCACAACACAAGGAGTGACCATCACTCAAAAAATTATGATTTTGTCATTTGAGAGTTGGAGTTGCTGGGATTTATAGTTCACCTATAATCAAAGAGCATTCTGAACTCCACCAACGATGGAATTGAACCAAACTTAGTACACAGAACTCCCATGACCAACAGAAAATATTGAAAGGGTTTGGTGGGCATTGGCCTTGAGTTTGGGAGTTGTAGTTCACCTACATCCAGAGAGCGCTGTGGACTCAAACAATGATGGATCTGGACCAAACTTGGCATGAATATTCAATATGCCCAAATGTGAACACTGGTGGAGTTTGGGAAAAATAGGCCTTGACATTTGGGAGTTGTAGTCGCTCTGAGATTTATAGTTCACCCACAATAGAAGAGCATTCTGAACTCCACCAACGACAGAATTGGGTCAAACTTCCCACGCAGAACCTCCATGACCATCAGAAAATACCATGTTTTCTGATAGTCTTTGGCGACCTCTCTGACACCCCCCCCCCATAACCCCCCTCCCAGGGGTCCTGACCCCCAGGTTGAGAAATGCTGATATAGTGATTGAGGATGGCTTCTCTTCTGATATGTAAAGGGTCAATTGGTTGAAATTATATGTTATGTTAAAGGTTAGGAATCTGGAATGGTTACTTTTCGAGACTGTAATTCACAATACAGTAGAGTCTCACTTATCAAACCTTTTCTTATGCAACGTTCTGCATTATCCATCACAGTCTGCCTCCCACCCGGATCCACATCTGTTTCAATTCATTGAGATGTTTTGGTGCTAAATTCGTAAATACAGTAATTACTACATAACTTTACTGTGTATTGAACTGCTTTTTTCTGTCCATTTGTTATAAAAGATGATGTTTTGGTGCTTAGTTTGTAAAATCATAACGTAATTTGACACTTAATAGGCTTTTTTCTTAATCCTTCCTTATTATCCAACATTTTCGTTTAGCCAACGTTCTGGCGGCCCGTTGGATAAGTGAGACTCTACTGTAATTGACTAAATTGACCAATAGCATCACAAGGGTCGATGTCACCCAGTGCAGTGTCACCTTCATGGACCCTTTTCTGTGCTTTTTTTGGAGAAGAGATTGAAATTGATATAGGAAAGTGCCTCCCTTCTGTTTGGCAACCCAGAATGCATCTCAGCATCTTTGGTTGTCACACGTCTGAGCAACTTAAGGAAGGAGTAGGCACCCTAAGCTCCAAGTTCCGCCTTGTTGCATTCCAATGTAGCACTGGGAAAACCCCAGAGAAGCGTGTTCCTTTCTGCAAACTGTGAGTTTCTGTAAACCTTTTATCCTCTTTTACAAGCACGCTGTGTGGAGCAACAACGGAGAGCCGTGAGCATTCAATGGGTCAAAGGTCCTTTCTCCTAAAACTAGAGAGTCTTGTTGTTTGTCTCAGAAGAATCTATACACCTCTCCAAGTGGTCACCATGGCACTGGGCATTGTTTGTTTACTCCCTGACACTCGCAATGACAAGGTTCATGCTGATATATAGCCCTTTTGTACATCCCAAGTGAAATACAGAGTTTGAATGAGCCCTGAAACTGAGCAGGAAGGCAGATAATAAACAATAACTTTAGCCAAAGGATATCCCCAGTCTCAGTATTGTTTCAGTTCTGCCTACTTATAGCACTGATTGAGATAAAGTTTATTCCAAGTATCAATATTATATAGAACTCTGGAGTTATGTGGCCAATGACAAAGTGCACATGAACAATATCTAATCCAGTGTTTCTCAACCTGGGGTTCAGGAACCCCTGGGGGGTCACGAGGGGGGTTTCAGAGGGGGCGCAGAACACCATCAGAAAACACAAGTTTCTGATGTTCTTAGGAACCCCTTTGTCAGAGAAAGTTGAAGATCTCTCCCCCTGTCCTTCTCTTCCTTTTTGGTGTTGGTGAACTACAACTCTCAGAATTCAAAAACACCCCCCCCCCCCCACAACCCCACCAGTATTCGATGTTGACCATGTAGGTAGTGTGCTAAGTTTATTTATTTATTATTTATTTCGGGTACTTTTACCCCGCTCTTCTCAACCCCCAAGGGGGGACTCAGGGCGGCTTACAAAAAGGCACAATTCGATGCCTATACAAATTACACATAATGTACAAAACCATAGTTAAAACCATTATCACAGTTAAAACCATCAAAACAATCAGTATATAACACATCATATAAAAACTATTCACATGCTCAGCGTTCGTCTTTCAGAGTTCCATAATTCCATTCCATTAGTCATTTCCTGCCCATTGTCAAGTCCTTTCTTTATCTGCCCGATTGTCCGAATGCCTGGTCCCAAATCCATGTTTTCAGTTTTTTCCTAAAGGAAAGGAGTGATGTTGCTGATCTAATTTCCCCGGGGAGTGAATTCCACAGGTGGGGGGCCATCACGGAGAACGCCCTGCTCCTTGTCCCCACCAACCTCACTTGTGACAGAGGCGGGGTCGAGAGCAGGGCCTCCCCAGAAGATCTTAGACTCCGGGGTGGGACGTAGAGGGAGATCCGTTCAGACAGATACACTGGGCCGGAGCCGTATAGGGTTTGTAGGTCAAAACCAGCACTTTGAATTGTGCTCAGAACTGGATCAGCAGCCAGTGGAGCTGACACAACAGGGGGGTGGTATGCTCCCTGTATGACGCTCCAGTGAGCAGTCTGGCTGCCTCCCGCTGGACTAGTTGGAGTTTCCGAACAGTCTTCAAAGGCAACCCCATGAAGAGTGTGTTGCAGTAATCTAATCAGGATGTAACAAGAGCGTGGACCACCGTGGCCAGATCCGACTTCCCGAGGTACGGGCACAGCTGGCGCACAAGTTTTAATTGTGCAAAAGCTCTCCCGGCCACCGCCGAGACCTGGGATTCCAGACTCAGCGATGAGTTTGGTGCAGATCCATTGTGGGCTGGGTTCAGAATGCTCTTTGATTGTAGGTGAACTATAAATCCCAGCAATTACAACTCCCAAATGTCAAGGTCTATTTTCCTCAAACTCCAGTAGTGTGCACATTTGGGCATATTGAGTATTCCTGCCAAGTTTGGTCCAGATCCATCACTGTTTGAGTCCACAGTGCTCTCTGGATGTAGGTGAACATTAACTCCAAAACTCAAGGTCAATGCCTACCAAGCCCTTCCAGTATTTTCTGTTGGTCAAGGGAGTTCTGTGTGGGAAGATTGGTTCAATTCTATCATTGGTGGAGTTCAGAATGCTCTTTGATTGTAGGTGAACTATAAATCTCAGCAACTACAACTCCCAAATGACAAAATCAACCCCCCCCCCAACCCCACCAGTATTGAAATTTGGGCGTATCGGGTATTTGTGCCAAATTTGGTCCAGTGAATGAAAATACATCCTGCACATCAGATATTTACATTATGATTCATAACAATAGCAAAATTACAGTTGTGAAGTAGCAACAAAGATAATGTTATGGTTTGGGGTTACCACAACATAAGGAACTGTATTAAGAGGTTGCGTCATTAGGAAGGTTGAGAACCATTGCTTTAGCCAAAGGATCTCTCCAGTCTCAGCATTGCTTTAAGTTCATCCTACTCATAGCACTGGTTGAGATAACGTTTATTCCAAGCAGCAATATAATATAGAACTCCAGAGTTATGTGGCCAATGACAAAGTGCACATGAGCAATATCTAACCTGTTGTCCTTATTTGAGGGCTCCATGAATGGATCCTGCACCTGTTTGTTGTTGATAAGGACCTTCTCAGGGTCTGGCACTATATGATCCATAACTTCCTTGTCCTTGGACCTAAGACAAGATCCATTTCCATGAGGTTTGAGTAAGCAAAACCCAGCGAAATGGATCGTGATGTAATTCACTTTTGATCAAAAAGCTCATTTGTTCCTGCAGGGACTTCACAGACGGAGAGGTCGCCACTCATTTTGGAGGCACGGTTTCAGTCCATAAACTTTGAAAACATCTTTGTGTGGAAAAGTGGCGAGGAGACACCTCCAGGGACGCTATATGATGTACAGTATAAAAAGTAAGGGCCTTCGCTTTCTCACTGTGGGTGGTGTTGTTTGCAAGAAAATCCATGTCACCTGGTACCTGAATCTGCACCAAGGCTTAGTCTAAATTTTAAGGCAGCTTTCCTAGGTACTGAACCTATTTGGAGCATAGCTTCTTTCAAGTTCAGACTAAAATTCTGCCACTATCAGCTCCAACATTTGTTCCAGGAACACTATTGTGGCATGTTAAGAGCAAAGAGAGATTAGATTCTCCTTTCAGGCTGTTGTGCACCTTCAAGGTCCTTTCCAGTGCACACCATCTGTTTTAATGCGTCAAGTAAATAGACTGCAAACAATTTGACAATTTGGAATGAGGCTGCCCCAAGTAGATCTGGCCCTCCACAGACTGGGAAAAGAGGGAAGGAGAGAGGGAGGAAGAAAAGGAGGAAGGGAGGAAGGAAGTAGAGAGGAACAGAAGGAGGGAAGGAGTGAGGGAGGAAGGGAAGGAAAGAAAATAGGAAAAAAGGGGGAAGGGAGGGAGGAAAGGAGGGAGGGAGGAAGAATGAAAGTAGAAAGGAACAGAGGGAGGGAAGGGAAGGGCAGGGAAAGAGGTAAGAAAAAGGAAGGAAGGGAGGGAGAAAAGGAGGAAGGAAGAAAGAATGAAAGTAGAGAGGAGCAGAGGGAGGGAAGGGCAGGTAAGGGAAGGGCAGGAAAGGGTAGGAAGGAAAAGGGGGGAGGAAAGGAGGAAGAAAGAAGAAAGGAGGTAAGGAAAGAAAGGAAAGATAGAAGGAGGAAGGAAAAGGAGAAGGAAGGAAGGAAGGAAGGAAGGAAGGAAGGAAGGAAGGAAGGAAGAATGAAAGTAGAGAGGAGCAGAGGGAGGGAAGGGAAAGGAAGGGAAGGGGGTAGGGAAAAGGGGGGAGGAAAGGAGGAAGAAAGTATGAAAGTAGAGAGGAACAGAGGGAGGGAAGGGAAGGGCAAGGCAGGGCAGGAAAGGAGGTAGGAAAAAGGATGGGAGGTAGGTAGAAAAGCAGTAAAGGAGGAAGAAAGAAAGAAAGAAAGAAAGTAGGGAGGAACAGAGTGGGGAGGGAGGGAGGAGGAAAGAAGGAAGGAAGGAAGTAGAGAGGAACAGAGGGAGGGAGAAAAGGAAAGGGAGGAAAAAGGGAGGAAGAAAAGAAGGAAGGAAGGAAGAAAAAGGGAACAGAGGGGGAGGGAGGAAAGGAAAGAAAGGAAAGGAGAGAAGGCAAGAGAAAAGGAAGAAAGGGGGAAGACGGAAAATAGAGAGAAACAGGGAAGACGGGAGAAAGAAAAGAAGGTAACGAAAAGGGAGGGAGGGAAGGAGGGAGGGAGAAAAGGAAGGCAGACAGGAACTAAGGAAGGAAGTGAAGGTGTGAGAAAAGATAGATAGGTCAAGAGCAGATAGAGGCAGAGAAAAGAGAGGAAAAGAGGGAGAGAGGAGGGAAGAAAGAAAAAGAAAAGAAAGAAAGAATTCAGAAAACGTGGTGTATTGGTTTTAACCTCAAACTATAGCTCTGAACACACTGGTGACTTTAACCATGTGCCACTCTCTCAGCTTCAGACAAAGACAAAGTAAAATCCCTTTTCAATTACTTTTTGACAAGAAAACTCTGTGACAGATTTGTTCTCAATCTGAAATGACTTGAAGTCACCCAACAACAACAATCCTAATTACTTGAGCTGGAAATTGAGGTGCTAAAATCCTATTTGTGGTCCCAAGAGTCTTAGCCTATCTAATTTGACCCCTGCTCTCTAAAACTAATCCTCAAACCATGCTGGCTCTCAAAGAGGTATTGATCATAAATGAATAATATAGGTATGAGAGCCAGCATTGCATAGTGGTTTGCCATGTTGGTTGGACTATGAATCTGGAGACCAGTGTTTGAATCTTCTCTCAGCCATGAAAACCCACTGGGTGGATTTGGCCAGGTCACACACTCTCAGCCCCATAAATGGGTTGGTTTTCTGTTGATTCCATCAAAGTCACTTGTCTAGCTGATGTGTCCCTTGCGGCACAGGTTCATGGTTTCCATTTTGGATCTGTCCTCAGCACACCTGAGTAAGTGTGTAATACAAACTTGGCATCCATAGAGCTTTCTCATAAGCCGATGGAGAGTTTTCTCAGCTGAGAAGGACAAAATGGAACCTCAATTTCTCAACCGTTTCACACTTTGATGCAATCCAAAGGAGAGACGAGTCAAAGGACAGGTAAATGACACAAGTGTGCGGTTGCACAAGGCAAAGGGAAAGCAAGATGAAAGATGTCTCGGAATTTTTTTACAACTTGCTTCAATGTGTAAGAAAGCACCAGGCAGCCTCAGGGCTCCACTCTCAGGTTGCGCCCATCCCAAAATAGTCGAGGCAATAAAATAATAAAGGCCCAATAAGTACTGAATGGTGTACTAACACCATTTGCACCTCTGATGTAGTACCTCCTTCAAATAGGGAAATTGTTCTGGTTTGCCATTGCAACACAAATAAATTACATAGAGGACTTTATCACACCAAGACACTATCCCATTACAGTTGAATTGTCATAGAGAATGGATAAATTTTGCATGAACAGGTTGATATCACACCTCCCTGCAAGAGTGCAAGTGCTCTGTTTTTGTTGCACTCCAGCACAGGAAAAGCTCTCTGACTATAAACACTATGCTGTTGATTGGAAAAAAGAATTAAAAAGCAAGTAAAAAAGCACTTTAAAGAAATAGGTAAATCCAATTAGGTAAGAAGATAAGCAGGAGCAAAAATAGTCCAGGATAAAGTTCAGCAAATTCCATAAAAACAAAGTCCACACTTTTCTAATATAATTCAGGAAAACAGGAAAAAACTGGTCCAAGGCATGAGTAAGGATTCATACATTCCAAGAATCCAAACTATGAACAAGAAATACTTAGGCAGGAATCTTCCAAGCAAAGCTTCCATGAAACAAGGAAGAGAACTACACTTGATTCCAACAATGCTTCATCTGACTATATTTCCCATACTTGGAACTTTTATCCCCTCGTTAGGCTGTTCCACGCACTCAGGAATTGGTTTCGCTTTACTTGAGATCCCCTTCTCTTTTTCTGTTGGAGCCTAGCAGAATCATAGAATCATAGAATCAAAGAGTTGGAAGAAACCTCATGGGCCATCCAATCCAACCCCCTGCCAAGAAGCAGGAATATTGCATTCAAATCACCCCTGACAGATGGCCATCCAGCCTCTGTTTAAAAGCTTCCAAAGAAGGAGCCTCCACCACACTCCGGGGCAGAGAGTTCCACTGCTGAACGGCTCTCACAGTCAGGAAGTTCTTCCTCGTGTTCAGATGGAATCTCCTCTCCTGTAGTTTGAAGCCATTGTTCCGCGTCCTAGTCTCCAAGGAAGCAGAAAACAAGCTTGCTCCCTCCTCCCTGTGGCTTCCTCTCACATATTTATACATGGCTATCATATCTGAAGGCTGAAGGCACTGTGCTGAAGACACTGTTCAGCCTTTCTGTTTTGACTAATTTCCTCTCACCTATCTAGAAATTACACTGCTTAGCTGGTATTGCACCACCTGACATCCGCCGGGAAGTAGCAGCCAATAGTGAAAGGACCAAGGCAGAGACATCTCCAGCTCATCCCCTGTTTGGGTATCAGCCAGCACATCAACGACTTAAATCTAGAAATAGTTTTCTAAGATCTACAGAGACACTCGCTGGAACACCTCAGCAAGCGAGAGTCCAAAAGTGGCAGGCTCAAACCCAGAACCTCAACCAATGGCTGATACCAAATGAGAGACTCCCCCCTGGGCACACAGAGGACTGGGCGACTTGGAAGGCGCTGAACAGACTGCGCTCTGGCACCACGAGATGCAGAGCCAACCTTCAGAAGTGGGGCTACAAGGTGGAATCCTCGACATGCGAGTGTGGAGAGGAGCAAACCACTGACCACCTGCTGCAATGCAACCTGAGCCCTGCCACATGCACCATGGAGGACCTTCTTGCAGCAACACCAGAGGCACTCCAAGTGGCCAGATACTGGTCAAAGGACATTTAATCAACTACCAAACTCACAAATTTTGTATTCTGTCTGTTTGTTTGTTTTGTTCTGTTAGAAATGTAAGAAATGTAATATAATTTGACTGGTTGTCCTGACACGACAAATAAACCTATCTATTTCTCATTAAGTCTCGCAGCTGGGCCAGGTGCCCAGTTGTTTTCAAGCCCCAAATCCTGGGAACTCTCTGGTAGCAATTCAGGGGGTACACTATCATCCCCACACCCTTCAGGGACATTCTTATGGGAAACTACACTTTGCACAGGGGTCTCCTGGTCCTTCTATGCATCAGTATCATTGACAAAACCATTGCCATCTTGAAATTCATTGGCATCACTTCCCACATCCAAAGCACCCTGATCCTGAAACACAATCACAGGCTGAACTCTAACAGCTTTGCCTTTGCAATGCAAATGAAATGCATAGAGGACTTTATCACACCAAGCTGCTATTTCTGTTATATTCTCATTAACACAGAGAATGGATACATTTTGTGTTGAGCACCTTTGATATTTCATCCTTGGTTAGCACCTCTCTCAAATAGCACAATTTCTCTGGTTCACCATGAATTACCATACACTGAGGACTTCATCACATCAAGCCACTATTCTGTGATAGTCACATTAGCTGATTCACATTGAGCACTGACGATATCACACCCCTCTCCAATGGCACAATTACACTGGTTTTCCATTCCATGCTTCCATGATCAAATGTACACACCCTCTTGAAACCAACTGCAATGCCAATTTGCCTGCCTTGTGTGCTAAGGTCCTTAGAATGCAGTCTTTCCAGGCATCTACTCCTGATCCGCTCTCATACAATACAAGAGGCATTTTATAAGGCGCAAATATTGTCTCTCGTTTTAGATATGGGGACCCATGGCAGGAGAAAAGTGAGTGCCAGAACATCACCCGGCTTTTCTGCGACCTCACCCACGAGATGAAGAACTCCACGGAGCATTTCCACGCCCAAGTGCGGGCCCACATACCCGACTGTTGCACCTCTGAATGGGCATTATCCCCAAGATTTCAGCCTGAAAGGGACAGTAAGTGGCTCCAGGGGGTGAAGGCATGGACCAAGGGTGGTCTGCAAGAGTTATTTGGTGGGACTTGAGGGTATAAAACTGCTCCCAAATATCCTCCAAGGTAATAGTTCCAAACCTTTGGTCCTCTACATTTTTTTTAAACAGTTATAGTCAAGATTCAGGAATTTTCTAGGGGTTGAAATGCAACACATCTAGAGGACCAAAGCTTGGGACCACCACTCTATAGCAATGTTTTCCAATCTTGGTCTTTTTCCCCCAAACTTTGATCTTATAGATGTTTTGGACTTTAGCTCCCAGAATTTGTGACAATTCTCCAAGCTGGCTGGAACCTCTGGGCGGTGAAGTCCAAAATAGATGGAAGACATCTCTAGGACAATTTCACCATATTTTTACACCTTATAAGCCAGTGGTTCTCAACCTTCCTAATGCCACAACCCCTTAATGCAGTTCCTCATATTGTGGTGACTCCGAAACTTAACATTATTTTCATTGCTACATCATAACTGTAATTTTGCTACTGTTAGGAATCTTAATGTAAATATCTGATATGCAGGATGTATTTTCATTCACTGGGCCAAATTTGGCACAAATACCCGATACACCCAAATTTGAATACTGGTGGAGGATTTTGTCATTTGGGAGGTGTAGTTGCTGGGATTTATAGGTCACCTACAATCAAAGAGCATTCTGAACTCCACCAATGATGGGATTGAACCAAACATGGAACACACAACTCCCATGACCAACAGAAGATCCTAGAAGGGTTTGGTGGTCATTGACCTTGAGTTTTGGAGTTGTAGTTCACCTACATCCAGAGAGCACTGTGGACTCAAACAATGATGGATATGGACCAAATTTGGCATGAATACTCAATATGCCCAAATGTGAACACTGGTGTATTTTGGGGAAAATAGACCTTGACATTTGGAAGTTGTAGTTGCGGAGATTTATAGTTCACCTACAATCAAAGAGCATTCTGAACTCCACCAACAGTAAAATTGGGCCAAACTTCCCACACAGAACCCCCATGACCAACAAAAAATACTGTGTTTTCTGATGGTCTTTGGTGACCCCTCTGACACCCCCTCGTGATCCCCTAGGGGTCCCAACCCCCAGGTTGAGAAACACTGTTATAAGCCATTTAAGCCCTAACAGAAGGCTTAAAAAAACAAGAAGCAAGAAAAATACCTTATTTCTTTCTCTTTCGTCTTTCTCCCGTCAGCAAATATTGGGAGGCCGGAAGTTAAGTGCATCCCTAGCGTCCAGTCCATCCAGTTCTTCATCCAGTCGCCAATGAGCCCTCTGAGGAATGGAGCCAACCAGACCTTGACTGTGGTAGACATCTTCACACAGATTGGCACCAAGGTTGAGTACGAAATAACAATCTTCTCCCCAAAGACACAGCAGAAGGTAAGGGGGAAATGGAGTCAATGAAATGGAAGTTTGGACTCTTCTATCTCTCCAATTGTTATGCATTCAAGAGTGCTTCCATCACTACAGTGTGACCCCCGTTACCACTGTTTTACCGACCTGCATTGTCCCTTCTAATATTTTAAGGGAGCCCCCAGTGGTGCAGCGCATTAAACCGCTGAGCTGCAGAATTTTCTAACCGAAAGGTCAGCTGTTTGAATCTGGAGAGTGGGGTGAGCTCCTGCTGTTAGCTCCAGCTTCTACTAACCTAGCAGTTTGAAAACATGCAAACGTGAGTAGATTAATAGGTACCGCTTCTGCAGGAAGGTAACAGCATTCCTTGCAGTCATGCTGGCCACATGACCTTGGAGGTGTCTACAGACAATGTCAGCTCTTCGGCTTAGAAATGGAGATGAGCACCACCCCCCAGAGTCGGACACAACTTGACTTAATATCAAGGGAAGTCTTTACCTTTACCTACGAATTGTCTATGAATGATTCTGTGGCACACTTCCACTGGAGGTTGCAGTAGAGTCATCCTGGAGGTCCTAGCAAATTCCTAGGAATTAACTCTAGGCAACTCCATAGAAACATCCAACAGAGGCCATTCTTTTCCTATTATCTACAGTTTCTTCTTAGCACAATATGTTCAGGAATGTACACGGGGTTGCACTGTATATATTTATTACATTCTCTGTTGTTATGTGCCTTCAAGTCAGATCCAACTTACAGTAACTCTCTCCTAGATTTTCCTAGGCAAGGTTTAATCAGAAGAGGTTTGCATTGCCTTCTTCTGAGACCGAGTGAGACTTGCCCAAAGTCAACCAGTAGGTTGACTGAGCAGGGATTTAGACCCACAGTTCAATACCACACCATCATATACAATACTAGCGGTCCCCTGCCACACATTGCTGTGGCCCAGTCTGGTGATCTAATGAGAAAGTGTTGGTTTCTAATATATGCCATGTCTTTCTGCTTGTGGGTAAACAGTATTTCTTGCTGTTTCTTTGCCAGTGTTGATGTGGCCTGGTTTGCCTACTCTGTAGGCCTGGTTTGCCTACTCTGGAACATGCAACATATCATTGTTCTTCTTTCAAATCTTTGATACTGCATCTGTCATATACATATGTGTGTGTGTGTGTGTGTGAATGGTTCGATGGCCCTTTGTCAGGAGGGCTTTGATTCTGTTTTCTTGTCCTGGTGAAGGGAGTTGGACTGGATGGCCTTAAGGCAGCCTTTCTCACCCTGGGAAGTCAAGACCCGGGGGGGGGGGGTGTCACCAGGGGGGTGTCAGAAGGGTCACCAAAGACCACCAGAAAACACTGTTGGTCATGAGGGTTCTGTGTGGGATGTCTGCCCCAATCCTGTCGTTGATGGGATTCAGAATGCTCCTTGATTGTAGATGAACTATAAATCCCAGTAATTACAACTACATCTTCCCCCCAAACTCCATCCATGTTTATATTTGGGCATATTGAGTATTCGTGCCAAGTTTGGTCCAGATTCATCATTGTTTGAATCGACAGTGCTCTCTAGATGTAGGTGAACTACAGCTCCAAAACTCAAGGTCAGTGCCCACCAAACCTTTCTAGTGTTTTCTGTTGGTCAGGGGAGTCCTGTGTGCCAAGTTTGGTTCAATTCCATTGTTGGTGGAGTTCAGAATGCTCTTTGATTATAGGTGAACTATAAATCCCAGCAACTACAACTCTCAAATGACAAAAGCATAAATTTTTGAGTGATGGACACTCCTTGTGTTGTGAGATGTTTTGTTGCCAAATTTGGTGTTATTTCGTTCATTGGTTCTTTTGTTTTTAAGGTACTCATTATGCACAGAGCATTTATATATATATATAGATATATAGGAACCCTTTGTGACTTTTGGCCCACCTTTTATTAACAATTCTATGTTTAATTCAATTAGAGTATTTATAATAATACACTTTATTTACATCCTGCCCTTCTTCCTTAGGGGACTCAGAGTGGATTACAGCATTTACATACATAGGCAAACATTCAATGGCTTTTACAATCATATACAATGAGACACACAAACACAAACAAAGGCAGAGGCTTCTTCTTTCATTTCCGGCTTCATCTACTATCAAAGAGCATTCAGAACTCTGCCAACAATAGAATCATAGAATCAAAGAGTTGGAAGAGACCTCATGGGCCATCCAGTCCAACCCCCTGCCAAGAAGCAGGAATATTGCATTCAAATCACCCCTGACAGATGGCCATCCAGCCTCTGTTTAAAAGCTTCCAAAGAAGGAGCCTCCACCACACTCTGGGGCAGAGAGTTCCACTGCTGAACGGCTCTCACAGTCAGGAAGTTCTTCCTCATGTTCAGATGGAATCTCCTCTCTTGTAGTTTGAAGCCATTGTTCCGCGGCCTAGTCTCCAGGGAAGCAGAAAACAAGCTTGCTCCCTCCTCCCTTGTGGCTTCCTCTCACATATTTATACATGGCTATCATATCTCCTCTCAGCCTTCTCTTCTTCAGGCTAAACATGCCCAGCTCCTTAAGCCGCTCCTCATAGGGCTTGTTCTCCAGACCCTTGATCATTTTAGTCGCCCTCCTCTGGACACATTCCAGCTTGCCAATATCTCTCTTGAATTGTGGTGCCCAGAATTGGACACAATATTCCAGATGTGGTCTAACCAAAACAGAATAGAGGGGTAGCATTACTTCCCTAGATCTAGACACTATGCTCCTATTGGGTCAAACGTCCCACACAGAACCCCCATGACCAACAGAAAATACTGTGCTTTCTGATGGTCTTTGGCAACCCCTCTGACACCCCCCTCGTGACCCCTCCCCTAGGGGTCCTGACCCCCAGGTTGAGAAACACTGGTGTAAATGTTTAAGTGACATTCAGAAACGTTTTCTGCTGCCAATTTTTTTCCTGTCCCCAACATTGAGTGAATGGGTCGAGACCCACAGTTTAAGAAGCAGTGGTTTCAACAATAGTTATAAAATGTAGGGCATCTTTTTAAAAGTTTTTTATTGCATAATACATAGAAACATACCAACTTTGATATTAACATTCAAAATACCAGTATTTTCCCCAATCCCAATCCCAACACCACCACAACCCCCCCCCCCCCGCCCAGGAACAGTTAAGTACATTTGCTGTGTTTATTATAATTGTTCAATCATAAGAATAGTCTTATTTAACACCGTATATTTATCTTTCCCCTTTATTCTGTAGATAAGACCCTTCCATTTTGCTTCCCATGTCCTTCTGCTTTGACCCGTCATATAGTAACTTTTCATTTTGCTAATATAATCTTGGAGAAGGTAATCGGCTAGATATTTATACCAAGTTTTTATATTCCATTTCTTGTGGTCCTTCCAGCCCAGGGCCACTGAGGCTTTGATTGCCTCTATCGTGTGATTTATTATTTCCTCATTTATATTCCCCTTTACTTTCCAATTTCTGGGTGAAAAATCGGGTCTTGTTCCATTCTATATTTATTCCTAATAGCTCCTCCATTTCCTTCCTGATTATTTCTTGGAACTTTTGGATTTTTTCGCATTCCCACCACATGTGTGCGCATGTTCCTATTTTTCCACAATTGTGCCAGCATAATTTCGGACACGTTTTCATGATATGCACCAGCTGCACAGGAGTTCTGTACCATTTTGTCAGTATTTTCCGTTGCATTTCTTTAATCTTTAGGTATTTTATTTTATTGATTGACTTCATCCAATTATCTATTTCTCTCTCACTGCAACTTAATTCCTCCTTCCAGACTCCTATTAGGGTAGATTTTGTGTTATATTGTATTTCTGTGATTATTTTATATATAAATCCCATGATTCCTTTCTCCTTCTCAACTTTCCATTTTATTATTTTGTCGAAATTTGTTTCTGAGGTTTCCTTAGTCTTCAATTCTGTTAGCTTTTTAGACAGCCCTCCCCATTGTAACCAATTTCCAAGCCCACATTTATCTTTTATTCCCTCCCATTGAATTACAGTCCCATCTGATTTTAGTAAATCCTCAATCTTTGTTATTCCGTTCTGTTCCAGTTTCTTTAGCATATTGCGATATGGCTGGGGTTTTCTGTTGTCTATGGAGCCTATTGGGAGCTTGTCTATTTTATTTAGTTGGAGTTTGTTTTGCCATTTTCCCCAACAGGTTATTGTTGATGTAGGGCATATAAAGCAACAAATCAGAGTTATCTGTCTTAAGACAAACTCTCCTTTCTCTTTTTACAGTGGGTTAAGACTGTGAGCAGCAATAAACCTGAACTCACCGACTTGGAAGCAGACACCGAATACAATGGAGAAATCAAAATCAAAATCAAAACGTCAGAGAAAACCAGCAAGCCCTATCACTTTCGAGTGAGGACTTTACCAGGTGAAGGGCTGACTGTCTTTCCGATTTGATTATATGTATTGACGATGCCCAGGTTATTTGAAAAAGGCATTATTTGTTTTGGGGTGTTAGGTAATATCATTTAGTTAAATTTTTTTTTGTTGTGTCAGGAGCGACCTGAGAAACTGCAAGTCGCTTCTGGTGTGAGAGAATTGGCCGTCTGCAAGGACGTTGCCCAGGGGACGCCCGGATGATTTTTGATGTTCTATCATCCTTGTGGGAGGCTTCTCTCATGTCCCCACATGAGGAACTGGAGCTTGATAGAGGGAGCTCATCCGCCTCTTCCTGGATTTGAACCTGCGACCTGTCGGTCTTTAGTCCTGCCGGCACAGGGGTTTAACTATTTATTAGGAAAAAGCCGGATGTGATTTCATTTTTTATGAATGCTCCCATTAGAAAATACATAACAGTGTGGGTGAAGTACAATTCCCAGAATTGTGTGTCAATCCTTCTCAAACCAGGCCTGTATGCATAGTTGGCCATGTTGGGTCTGTGTGCCAAGTTTGGTCCATATCTATCATTGACTATCTTCAGTGCTCTCTGGATAAGGGTGAACTACAACTCCCAGATTCCCAGAGCAATCACCCCCAAACTCAGATAGTATTTACAGTTGGCCATGTTGAGTCTGTGTGCCAAGTGTGGTCCAAATTCATTGTCAGCTGGGTTGAGTGTTCTGGGGATGCAAGTGAACTAGACTTCTCAAAATCAAGGTCATTTCCCCAAACCCCTGCAGTATGTTCAGTTGGTCATGGGGCATCTCTATGCCAAGTTTGGTCCTGGTCCATTGTTGGACCTCTCCAGTCCGTTCAATTCCTCTGTGTTTCCTGTGTGCCATAGGAAAGGGTAGGAAGGAGTCCCCCACATACACATTTTTCACATTTATTTTGTGTATAGAAGATAGAAGATGCAATGCAGAAATGTAATGCAATCTCACAATTTGGAGGTGAAATCTGAAGCCGCAAATGCAAAGGCAGTAACCATTGATGACCTCAACAGGTGATAATGTTCTTCAAGGACTTACCTGCCTCCCAAACAGTATAAGTTGGACAGAAAACAAAGCAAAACCTTCTACCAGCGAATCGAAACTTGGCACAAGGTTGAAAGGAGCAATGTGCAAACAGAAGGCAGCAGCCAAAAGAATGATCTTCCATAACTTGCTAGTAAATGATAAACTTGCCAGGCTGTTAAAGAGTTTAGATAACATCCCAAGAGGAGTCCCATTTTTGTTCCTCTTGTTCACTGAGGGCCCTTCCACACAGCCCTATATCCCAGAATATCAAGACAGAAAATCCCACATTATCTGAGTGTGGACTCAGATAACCCAGGTTAAAACAGATATTGTGGGATTTTCTGCCTTGATATTCTATGGAATTCCCTCCCAAGTGAAATCAGATCTGCTCCATCCCTCCTGATGTTCCGGAAAAAAGTGAAATTCTGGCTCTGGGAGCAGGCCTTTGCGGGTTAAACTGACTTGATGGCAAAGCTATGGTTTTAATGGACTCTGATGGATTGCGTACAGGACGACAACTTAAATTAGCAATTGTTTTAATGTTTTTATAATGTTTTCATAATGTTTTATACTGTTTTTACTTGATACTAGCCATCCCCTGCCACATGTTGCTTTGGCCCAGTCTGTGTATATGTGTTTTGTGTGTGTGTGTGTGTGTGTGTATATATATTTGTATATGTGTATATATGTGTGCTTGCATATATATATATATATATATATATGTGTGTGTGTGTGTGTGTGTGTGTGTGTGTGTGGTTTTGCACATGCGTTGTAATGTGTGTATATATTTGTGTATATGTGTATATATGTGTGTTTGTGTATGTGTCTATACATGTGTATATATCTGTGTATTTCTGTGTTTATATGTGTATATGTATATTGTGTATATATGTGTATATGTATATATGTGTAGGTGTATATATAGGTGTGTATATGTGTATATTTGTGTGTGCTTGCATATATGTGCATGTGTATATGTATATTTCAGTATGTATGAGTGCATGTGTATATGTATATTTCTGTGTTTATATATGTATATGTATATTGTGCATATGTGTGTGCTTGTGTCTATGCATATATGTGTGTTTATATGTGTGTACGTATGTGTATATGTATATGAGAGTAGGTGTATATGTAGGTGTGTATATGTGTATATTTGTGTGTGCTTGCGTATATATGTGTGTGTTCTTGTGTATATGTGTATAAACATATTTGTATATGTATATATGGTTTATTTGGGGGGGGGGGTTTAAAGTCCTTTCTGCTGTTTTTTGTGTTTGTTTTAGGGGTGATGGTCACTCGTTGGCCTGATAGGTGTATTGTGTAAAAATTTGGTGTCAATTCACCCAGTGGTTTTTGAGTTATGTTAATCCCACAAACAAACATTACATTTTTATTTATATAGATGTATACCTATGTTTTTTCTTTGTTGTTAGCTGTCCTGATTCCCACAGCGGAGGTTGAGATAGGATATAAATGTCCTAAATAAATAATAATAAATAATTCTCGGATACAGAACTGTGTGGAAAGGCTCTGAGTTAATTTTCCCATTCGACTATTTCCTATCTATAGTTCAATTGGACCACTTTTCATTCTATCTGCCTGTCTATCGGACCAATATGCCATTCATATTAAGATGTATTAGCACCTGGGGCACATCTACACTGTTTACTTAATATAGTTTGATGATACGTTCACTGCCTTGGCTCAATGCTCTGGGGTCCTGGGAGTCGTAGTTCTACAAAGGCTTCCACCTTTTCTGTCAAAGAGTGATGGTGCTTTACCAAACTACAACACCCAGGATTCCATAGCATTGAGCAATGCAGTTCAAGCAGAATCCTCCGCATTAATTCTACAATGTGGATGCACCCTTGGTGTGTTATCTGATGGTACCAACATGAAAACTAGAGTAAAGTTTGGACTCAATTGATCAATGATTTCATATGATTTTCCTTTCTCCTTCCTTCCTTCCTTCCTTCCTTCCTTCCTTCCTTCCTTCCTTCCTTCCTTCCTTCCTTCCTTCCTTCCTTCTTCTGTCCTCACCCTTTAGGAACCAATTTAAACCAAGTTGGGTTGTTGTAGGTTTTTTGGGCTATATAGCCATGTTCTAGAAGCATTCTCTCCTGACGTTGCGCCTGCATCTATGGCAAGCATCCTCAGAGCTTGTGAGGTCAGCTTGTGAGGATGCTTGCCATAGATGCAGGCGAAACGTCAGGAGAGAATGCTTCTAGAACATGGCTATATAGCCCAAAAAACCTACAACAACCCAGTGATTCCAGCCATGAAAGCCTTCGACAATACAATTTAAATCAATATTGATAAAATATCCGTCATTGCAAACGTTTTCTCCAAATGGGCCAAATTTGGCATTGGACAGATTTGTTCCATTTTGCACTGCACGCAGTGAGAAGGAGAGCAGCGCTTACCAATCCAACGTTTGTTTCTTTCGCATCAGATATAGCTGAGATACGGCTAAAGTAGTCTGTCTGCTTTTCCATCTGTCGGTATTGCATGCTTTCTAAATTCTTTGGCTGCTCCCATTTCAATCGGGGAAGGAATGATAGGATGCGCCCACGCTTTGGCACGTTCATAACAAGTTGGAATTATTTGGAGTTCTGACTTGTTGCAATGTCCAAACACACCCATTGTGTGCATGCAGCCAAATTAGTTCCATAATTCCAACCCAGGCTTCCATATAATTAACGGGTGTTATCAAATTGCATTAATTCTACAGTATAGATCAGGCATGGGCAAACTTTGGCCCTCCAGGTGTTTTGGACTTCAACTCCCACAATTCCTAACGGCCTATTGTTCTTGCCATACATCAAGGGAACCACTGACCACATAGGGAAGCTGATGAGGAAACACAACATACAAACTATCTACAGACCCACCAAGAAAATCCAACAAATGCTACGTTCAGCAAAGGACAAGAGGGATCCTCTCACTTCTTCAGGAGTCTATCGTATTCCATGCAGCTGTGGACAAGTCTACATAGGAACCACCAAACGCAGCATAGCCCAGACACGAATCAAGGAACATGAAAGGCACTGCAGACTACTTCAACCAGAGAAATCAGCCATAGCAGAGCACCTGATGAACCAGCCTGGACACACCATATTTTTTGAGAACACAGAAATCAGCTTGGTTGTCATCATGTCGTATTTTTTATTTTTCACTGCAACCCAGCTTTTGGACTTTCTTCTTTCACCTTGGTTAGAAGGCTCTTCAGCTCCTCCTTGCTTTCAGCCATCAAAGTAGTGTCATCTGCATATCTAAGGTTGTTAATATTTCTTCCAGCAATTTTAACTCCAGCCTTGGATTGGTCAAACCCTGCACGTCACACGATGTGTTCTGCATACAAGATAAATAGGTCGGGTGAGAGTATACAGCCCTGCCATACTCCTTTCCCAATCTTGAACCAATCGGTTGTTCTATGGTCTGTTCCGACTCTTCCTAGTTCATGCCCAGTTCAAGACTCAAGATTCATGCTCAAGTTTTGCTCCTTGATTTATGGATTATTTATTTATTTATTTATTTATTTGGGTCATTTATATTCCGTCCTATCTCACCTCCACAGAGGGACTCAGGGTGGCTAGCAACCAGCACAGCACAGATTCATGCCCACGTTTTGCTCCTTGTTTCCTGGATTCATATTCATGTTTTAACCATTGTGTTCTGGATTTACCTATTGCCTTTGAGACTTGCTTCCTTTATCAACTCTTGGGTTTTTATCCTTCCGTTTGCTTAAGGTGCCTTTGGGCCTTTTTATATGTGTTTTTATTTTCCATAAACTGTTTATTACCACGTTTGGTTTCTTGGTGAGGGCTGTGAGCAAGGGGAACTCCTGCTGAGGTGCAACAGATATGTCAGAGGTTAAGGGCAAGGCTGGTTTGCATGGAAAGATGCTCAGAAGAAATGATGTGGGTCTGGGTCATTTTGCCATTGCTGCCCCCCCCCCCCCCGATGCAGTTTCTCCATCAGTTTGATACTATTCCCAAGTATGGCCACTAATGGTCTCTTTCCTCTCTGCAGACCGCACCTGGATGCCGTATTTGTTTGTGGTGATCCTTTTTATGATCGCATTGAGCTTTGGAACAGTATACTATTTGGTTTACAAGTACATTAAACAGTACACTTTGGAGCAGCCGACAGCTTTAGTAAGTACTTATACTGAGTGTCTTCAGTGTGCCAGGAATTGTAGCTACAAGACATAGTTCATAACTTTTTAAAAAAAAAAACAGTAACAAAAAAGCAAAAAAAAATCCTTGCAATTGTTTATGTGGCTGTTGTTTTGCTGGGGATGTTGGATGTACAGTATTGAGTAGGGGAAGGATGAATCTTCCCTATTATAGGAAAGAGGGTTGTTTTGCTCTCTGTGCCCCTGTTCAGAAGATTCCACTTCACTTTCTGTCCCTGTGATTATTGCATTTTGAAAAACATGGCTTGTTGTGGAAACAAGGATTGGTGATAAGGCTTCAGTGGAGACACCTTTTCCCCATGATAATAACTTTTCCAGAAGTGGATTTCCCTTCCAAAGGGCAGATTTCTCTCACTTCATGTTGTTTCATCCTCATTCTTAACTAGGAGTTGTATGTAAGTTGGATGTTCGCAACTCAGGAATTGCCTGTAAACATTGAAATAAATATAGCACTGAGCAACACACATTTTTGTGCCTCAAATGTTAGCCCTATTTTGGGGTATATTTAATGTGCAGATTCCAAAAATGGTGCCATTTTTCCCCTACTGACTTGTTTTTGAGATACAGAACATATAGCATCTACCAGTTGTCATCTGCTTGCCAATTGATAACCATAATAACCATATCTAAGGACCTCATTACACTAGAGCAGTGGTTCTCGACCTTCCTAATGGCGTGACCCCTTAATACAGTCCCTCATGTTGTAGTGACCCCCAACCATAACATTGTTTTTGTTGCTACTTCATAACAGTCATTTTCCTACTGTTATAAATCATAATATAAATACCAGATATGCAAGATGTATTTTCATTCACTGGACCAAACTGGGTACAAATACCCAATGCACCCACATGTAAATGCTAGTGGGGTTGGGGGAGGATTGATTTTGTAATTTGGGAGTTGTAGTTGCTAGGATTTATAGATTTATAGTATAATCAAAGAGCATTCTGAACTCCACCAACAATGATTTTGAACCTAATTTGCTGCACAGGACTGCCATAACCAACGGAAAACACTGGAAGGGTTTGGTGGGCATTGACCTTGAGTTTGGGAGTTGTAGTTCACCTATATTCAGCGAGCACTACAATCAAAGAACATTCTGAACACCACCAACAATAGAATTGGCTCAAACTTCCCACATGGAATCCCCATGACCATCAGAAAATACTGTGTTTTCTGATGGTCTTTGGCGACCCCTCCAACACCCCTTCGCGACCCCCTCAGCAGGGTCCCGACCTCCAGGTTGAGAAACACTGCACTACAGCATGGTTCCACTTTAAATCCAGTTTCTGTGGCTTGTAGTTTAGGGAGGAGCCTTTAAACCGCTCAGCCAGATAAGTCTGGGCCTTGCTAAACTACAACTCTCAGAATTCTGCAGGAGGCAGAAACCAGATTTAAAGTGGATCTATGCTCTAGTGCAGCATTTCTCAACCTGGGGGTCAGGGCCCCTGGGGGAGGCTGCAAGAAGGGTGTTGGAGTCACCAAAGACCATCAGAAAACATACTATTTTCTGTTGGTCATGGGAGTTCTGTGTGGAAAGTTTGGCCCAATTCTATCGTTGGTGGGGTTCAGAATGATCTTTGATTGTAGGTGAATTATAAATCCCTGCAACTACAACATCCAAATGTCAAGGTCTATTTGCCCCAAACTCCACCAGTGTTCACATTTGGGCTTATTGAGTATCCATGCCAAGTTTGGTCCAGATCCATCATTGTTTGAGTCCACAATGCTCACTGGATATAGGTTATAACTACATCTCCAAAACTTAAATATTTTCAGTTGATCATAGTAGTTTTGTGTGCCAAGTTTGGTTCAATTCCATTGTTGTTGGAGTTCAGGATGCTCTTTGCTTGTAGGTGAACTATAAATCCCAGCAACTACAAATCCCTAATGACAAAATCAATCCCTCCAAACCCCACCAGTATTAAAATTTAGGAGTATTGGAATTTGTGCCAAATTTGGTCAAGTGAATAAAAATACATCCTGCATATCAGATATTTACATAACGATTCATAACAGTAGCAAAATTACAGTTATGAAGTAGCAATGAAAATAATTTTATGGTTGGGGGTCACCACAACATGAGGAACTGTATTGAGAGTCGCTGCATTAGGAAGGTTGAGAACCACTGATCTAATGCAATCTTTGGACTCAGTGCTGCAAATAATCCCGGGAACAGGCCTAAAAACCAAGAAAAAAATTGGGCTGTATAGTAAATGGTAACAAGACTGGATTTTGTTTTAATTTGATGTGAAGCACCTTGGTTCCTATGTCAAGAGTGAGGCAGGATATAGTCATTCATGTATTAATGAATTCATGTTGATCCCAACAGGATTTCAAGGGCACGTCTCACTTCCGACCCCTGGTGCCAAAAGCGGAGGTATTCCTGATTCCTCAGAACCTTTCCAAATCTGGACAAAGTCTTCCAAAGATGCACCTGGCGAGGGAGGTGAGCCCCAATCTTTTAGAAGAGCTGGAGAAGCACCAAAAAGTATTCGCTTACCAGGAACAGACCAAACTGCCCTTCTTCGAGGATGTAACTCAGTCTGTGGCTCCAGCGGATCACCTTCCTGTGTCTTATGCGCCACAAACCGTAAAGAGCCACCCAACATGTGTGATTGATGGCAACCCTTCGACTTCAACCTACGGATTGTGCGTCCAAGGGACCGGTTGTGCCAACAAGCTGAGCTCACAGAGAGCCACAGAGCCTGTTTCTTGTGTCGGAGACACCACAAATAATGGGATCTATAAAGCACAGAATCCAGAACAGCTCCAGCGCAGACAGTGGATGAACCAGGCCAACAAAGACCCAACGTTGATGCAAGAAAATGTGGAGCCACAACGAGACGACCAAGATGTGGTGCCATCACAATGCTTATCTCTTGTGGAAAGAAGTGTTCCTGTTTCTACAGGGAGCTATAGAAAGCAACCCATGGACCTGTTGCAGGCCACCCCGAAAAATGTCCCAAATGCTCCCATAGGAGTTGATTCTATCTCGTATTCTCAACCATTATTTTTAAAAGGTGCTCAACATTCACACAATCACAGCATAAGGCAATGGGAGGACTGGGAATCGTTCACCGAAAACACTAGCCGATGGTCCTCTTTCGGCCTTCAAACAACAGACTGCGCAAATAAGGGATCAGAAACTGAGCCCGAATCCTTTAGTGTTGCGGATGCCTTGGACACAGCTCCAAACAGTGGACTCTTTGCAGGCCTCTTCAAAGACTTGGATCTAAAAATCCAGTGGGACCATGGACCAGAGGAAGATGTCTAGTAGTCAATGCAGCACTGCATTGAGTAAGGAAATATGTTCCTTCAAACAGAACTGAAGGGAAGTACCCTCAATATCCCCGATTCCTTTGTTTGATCCCTTTTCTATGCATTAAAAAGGAGAATAAGGAAACCACCCTCTCAATCCATCATCGTTGTTATCAGTGTTCATTTCTTACCTGCCTCTCCTCATGGCAGTTAAACACATCAACATAAAATACATACCATAAAATGCATGCATTAAAATGTACCAATGCAAAATACATATACTAAAATGCATAGGGCAAGGCTTAAAAGACAGTACAAATCCATATATTAAGATACACATACAATGTCGTTGATTCAAACCTTTCAGCCACGGAGCAGATACCTCTAGCCAGCACCTTTTGACAGTGGAGTGTCCAGTGGAGTGTCCTTTGGAGCCCCACCTACACTGCCATATAGCCAGTTTCAGACTTCAGATTAACTGCATTCAACTGGATTACATGACAGTGTAGACTCTGGGAGCAGGCTTTTAAAAAATAGCGCAGTGCAATAATTTTAATCTGGAATATGTGCACTTGATGACGGAACGGTTCTTAAACTTCGATTCCTGGATGGCATGTTTTTAACATTGGAATGTATATTAATTATGTTTAATATGTATCATTTTAATCCAATTTTAAAGATAACATTTATATGTCGTAAGGCACTGTGTAGCTGCCATATGTAAACCGTCTTGAGTCCTCCTTGGGGTAGAGAAAGGGGGAGGGGTATACAGAAGGTAAATAAATAAATAACAAATAATAAATATAACCCAGTTCAAATGCAGTTCAATCTATATTATATGAGTCTACACCAGTGTTTCTCAACCTGGGGGTCGGTACCCCTGGGGCGGGCTCACGTGGCGGTGTCAGATGGGTCGCGAAAGACCATCATAAAACATGGTATTTTATGTTGGTCATGGGGTTCTGTGTGGGAAGTTTAACCCAATTCTATCATTGGTGAGGGTCAGAATGCTCTTTGATTTGAGGTAAACTATAAATCCCAGCAACTACAACTCCCAAATCTCAAGGTCTATTTTCCCCAAACCCCACCACATTTAGGCATATTGAGTACTGGTGCCAAGTTTGGTCCAGATCCATCATTGTTTGAGTCCATATGCTCTCTGGATGTAGATGAACTATAACTCCCAAACTCAAGGCCAGTGCCCATCGAACCCTTCCAGTATTTTTCTGTTGGTCATCGGAGTTCTGTGTGCCAAGTTTGATTCAATTCCATCATTGGTGGAGTTCAGAATGCTCTTTAATTGTAGGTGAACTATGAATCCCAGCAACTGCAACTCCCAAATGACAAAATCAATCCTCCCCTAACCCCACCATTCTGTATATATTTCAGATTTCAGTATTAATGTCAAAAATACGTAGTATGATTTTACATAGGATTTGTGCTTTTCAAATTCAAATTTGGGTGTATTGGGTATTTGTGCCAAATGTGCTCCGGTGAATGAAAATACATCCTGCATATCAGATATTTACATGATGATTCATAACAGTAGCAAAATTACAGTTATGAAGTAGCAACAAAAATAATGTTATGGTTGGGGGTCACCCCAACATGAGCAACTGTATTAAGGTGTCGCAGCATTAGGAAGGTTGATAACCCACTGGTCTACGCTGACCATTATAATGCATTTCAAACTGGATTATATGACAGTGTAGATGGGGCTTTAGACTCAGTCTACACTGCCATATGATGCAGTTTGAAATTGCATTACATAGTCTACACTCATATAAAGAGTGCATTGAACTGCATGGAACTGCATTATATGAGTCTACACCAGGCATGGGCAAACTTGGGCCCTCCAGGCCCTTTCCTTTTCCCCCTTAAGCCGCTGAGGGGGAAAAGGAAAGGGCCTGAGGCTGGTAGAAAACACCTGGAGGGCCCAAGTTTACCCATGTCTGGTCTACACTGTTAATTGAATGCAGTTTGACTTCACTTTAACTACCATGGCTCAATGCTATGGAATCCTGGGAGTTGCAGATTGGTGAGGCACCAGCACTCTTTGACAGGGAAGGCTAAAGACCATGTAAGAGTATTAGCTCTCACGATCCCATAGCATTAAGCCAAAGTGGTGTCAAACTGTGTTAATTATACAATGTAGAGGAAGCCTCTGTCCCAATTGAAGTACACTATCTATTCAATGAAAACATGATAAGTCCTCATTTATTAAAGTTCTGTGGCGGAATGAAAATCATGCATAGCTCACGTTTTTACCAGACCACACACTGTCTTGCCAGAGAAAGAAAATATGCCACCATTTAACAGACAACCATATGATCTATATTTCAGACTTTGAACTGAAAGTATTGTCAACATGCTTTCTGCCCCAAACTGGAGGAAATAATTTATCTCTCCTTTGCTATTTCAGCTATGCAACACACATCTTTGCTTATATTTGGTGTTAATCATGTGGTGTAATGAAAATCACATGTAGTTCACATTGTACCAGCCCCCACACTGTCTTGCCAGAGAAAGAAAATATTCCACGCAGATGATCAGCAAAGAACGAGAAGTTTACTCTTTGTAATGCAGAGCAACATATATACAGACATGAAAACAGTTGCATTGACTCACACAATGTCCTTTGAGAGAGATTTAAAATGGTCTTTGAGTGTCCATGTGGAAGATTTCCGTCCTGCAGCTCATGAAGCAAGAACTCAAAGTATTGTCGAAGGCTTTCATGGCCGGAATCACTGGGTTGTTGTAGGTTTTTCCGGGTTATATGGCCATGTTCTAGAGGCATTTTCTCCTGACGTTTCGCCTGCATCTATGGCAAGCATCCTCACCGCACTACCTCTGAGGATGCTTGCCATAGATGGAGGTGAAATGTCAGGAGAAAATGCCTCTAGAACATGGCCATATAGCTCGGAAAAACCTACAACAACCCAAGAACTCAAAACTGTCTCTTCTAGCTCTTGCACAGCTAAAGCCTAAAAATGTAACTGTTGCCAAAACTCCCAGGCTCCGCTAGTCTCTTGGGTGTAGCCCAACCAATCAGCTTTGGGCTTTGCATTTTCAGTTAACACAGTCACCAACTGATTTTTAACATGCCCTAGCAAGTTCTACTGATCAAATGGGGAGTCAATGTGGGGCAGTGGTTTGAACGTTGCACTAAGGCTACGGAGACTGGGGTTCGAATCCTTGCTTGGCCACAGAAACCCATTAGTTGAGTCACACACTCTCAGCCTCAGAAGATCCTATTTATAGGATCGGCTCAGGAATGACTTGAAGGAACACAGCAGCAAAACCAATTTGATGAATCTATTCTAATTGAATTAAGAGTGGGATTTCAACCTTGGGATACGACCCCCATAATCTCCCAGCCTTTCACCCGAAATTAATTTTTCCAAACTGTACTGACTTTCTATCAGGGAACAAAGGCGTTTTCATTCCAACCGGACTTTATCTTCAATTTCGTGTGAGTGCCGCACTTTAATTTCTTTAACAAACAGCTGCCACCGGTGGTTTTATGGAAGGCTTGCCACGTTATTATTATTCTTATTAATTTTATTACTCTTAGCGCCCTTGAGCACCATATGGTGGAAATTATAGGTTACATATTATGGGCTAAATACATATTTAACCAGCAGATAACAAATGAAGCTTGTTGCCAGTTTTCCTCAGATCTCAGATAGGTGAGGCAGATGGCTCCTGACTTCTCTTTTTCAATGAAAGCACTGTTTAACATAATCAAAAAGGAAGTTAATGGGGAAGAAAGCATTTCAGGACATCTTCACATCTTGCTGGAGCATGTTTTACGGTTCTGGGATTATCAGAAATCTGCTGCAAACGTCATGAAATATTCCCCGCGAAGCATTAGTGCAGGAATCTGGCTCGGCCTTTTGCAAACTCAGAAGGAAACCTTGCACAAGGCTTGGAGCAAAGCCATTTCTATAGAACTCCCATCTTGTCCCAATCCCAAGAAGAAAGGATTCCTATCACAAAATCCTCCTTAGCATTAAGCCAGCCGCTCAATTCTGCCATTCATACTATAGTCTTGGGGGGGGCTGCGAGGGGGTGTCACAGGGGTTGCCAAAGACCATCACAAAACACAGTATTTTCTGTTGGTCATGGGGGATCTGTGTGGGAAGTTTAGCCCAATTCTATCGTTGTTGGGGTTCAGAATGCTCTTTGATTGTAGGTGAACTATAAATCCCAGCAACAACAACTTCCAAATGTCAAGATCTATTTTCCCTAAACTTCACTGAGTATTCGTGCTAGGTTTGGTCCAGATCCACCATTGTTTGAGTCCACAGTACTCTCTGGAAGTAGGTGAACTACAACTCCAAAACTCAAGGTCAATGCCCACCAAACCTTTCTAGTGTGTTCTGTTGGTCAGGGGAGTCCTGTGTGCCAAGTTTGGTTCAATTCCATCGTTGGTGGAGTTCAGAATGCTCTTTGATTATAGGTGAACTATAAATCCCAGCAACTACAACTCCCAAATGACAAAATCATATTTTTTTGAGCGATGGTCACTCCTTGTGTTGTGAGACGTTTTGTTGCCAAATTTGGTGTGATTTCGTTCATTGGTTCTTTTGTTTTTAAGGTACTCATTACGCACAGAGCATTTTTAGATATATAGATTTATTATCTATTTATTTATTTAAAACTTTTTTTAAAAAAACTTTTTTATCCCAATCTTCTCTAACACCGTAGTGGAACTCAGACTGGCTAACAGCAAGTATTAAATGCTCACAAACAAACCTTTAAAACAACATAATAAACAGTAAGTTAAAAATACATATCAGATAAAAAGCATACTAAAACATTCGCCAGGATAAAAACAATGTCCAACTCAGTCTGCACATTGTGGTCAATACCTTAGTCAATTACCAGTCTCAGCCATCATTCTGCAAATGCTTTGTTCCACAACCAAGACTTCACTTGCTTCCTAAAGGTCAGGAGGGAGGGGGCAGATCTAATTTCATTCGGGAGAGAGTTCCATAGCCGGGGAGCCACCACAGAAAAGGCTATACAATTACAATCCATAAGGGGACTCAGGGTGGATTCCAGCATAACAATGGCAAACATTCAATGCCTACATAAAACATATGATACCAACATAAAATCCCAGAAAACCCCCACATATAA